GCCCGAGGCTGTGGAGAGGTGCCCTCCGAGACCGCCTCGCTTCGGCGTTTTGAGCGTCTTCACCTAGAGGAAGTAACTCTGGCTGTGAGGCACGTACGGAACTTAAACCCGGGGCTTTTCTCCAGGTGACGTTCCTGAGCTGTGGCTTGTAACGTATCTCTTAGGGGGGATGTGTGAGTGTGCTCTGACCCTCCACGGGCAGCAAACGGGTGCCAGAAAGCCCTGAAGATAGAATCCTAGATTAATTAAGGTTGGAAAAGACCTTGAAGATCATCAAGTCCAAGCGTCAACCCATCGACCCAACACTACCATGACCACTAAACCATGTCCCCAGGTGCCACATCCACACGTTTTTTAACCCCTCCAGGGATGGGGACTTCCCCACCTCCCTGGGCAGCCTGGGCCAAGGCCTCACCACTCTGGCAGGAAGCAAATTCTACCTCATCCAGTCGAAGCCTTGCCTGCTGCAACTTCAGCCCATTGCCTCTCTATCCTATCACTGGTTACCTGGGAGAAGAGACCAACCCCCACCTCACTCCAGCCTCCTGTCAGGGAGCTGTAGAGAGCCAGAAAGTCTCCCCTGAGCCTCTTCTTCTCCAGACTAAACACCCCCAGGTCCCTCAGCCACTCCTCACAAGCCATGTTCCCCAAAGCCTTCACCAGCTTTGTTGCCCTTCTCTGGACCCGCTCCAGCCCCTCAAGGTCTTTCTGATCCTGTGGTGCCCAAACCTGACCCCAGTGCTCAAGTTGTGGCCTCCCCAGTGCCACGATCAGTTCCCTTCTCCTGCTGGGCACAGGTTTTTTGACGCTAGGTCTGGATGCATCTCTTGGTTGGAGGCTTCTACCCTCTCTCCTTTGCCAAATTGTTGTCTCTTTGGATTTGGGCAATATTTTCCTGCTTAAAACATCTGTTAAGGGCCAAGGCTGCTCAGGAGCTCCTCCCTCACAGCCTCCTTTTCTGGACCTCATGTCTTTCAAACAGAGGAACCTGCCTCTTGGAAAGGAAGTCGATTCTCTACCAAGTGGCTTTGGATCAGATAAAGTAAAGACTTTTGGAACACCACCTCAGCTCCACTGTTGTTGGTTGGGTGGACAGCTCTCTGTGTGCCTCTTCCCATCCCTGCCTCTTTTACCCCAAAGGAACCCTGTCTGAATCTTTAGGCTGCCAAAGTAGTGTCTTCTTACATTGCTTTACGTGTGCTTTGTGAGGGGTGATTTCTGGGCACGCCATAAGCTGGGTGACAGGGATTTGCTGTGTGGCTTAGTGGGGAGTAAGAAAAGCCACGAAGGATCGGTGGCTGCTTCTTATGGTCATAATGACACTGAGAAGATGGCTTTGTAATTTGAGGCGCCGGGTAGGAGCAGTGTGGGGTGGCAAGCAGAGGGCTCAGGAAGGAGAGGCACACGACAAAGAGTTCAGAGTCAAATGTCTCGCCCTTTTTGCAGGCTGCAGACACCTTGGCTGTGCGACAGAAGCGACGGATCTACGATATCACCAACGTCCTGGAAGGCATCGGGTTGATTGAGAAGAAATCCAAGAACAGCATCCAGTGGAAGTGAGTGAGGGAGACGCTCTGAATCGGTGGTGGGTGAAGTGACACTGGGGTGCCAACGCCCTGCTTGGAGCACGGCTCCTCAGCTTGTGCTTCCCCCAGCTGGGCTGTGCTCATGGGAGTGATGAGGAAAGCTGAAGCATGTCTCTTCTACAGCGGAGCTGTTATTTTGCTACAGATTAAGTATTTGTGGTGCCTCGGGCTAGAAAAATGCCAGTTGTGGCACTAGATGTGCGGGAGAGCCCCGCCAGGCTGTGGGATGTAGGAAGACGTGCCAAACGTTGCTGTGCTGGAAGGTGGGGATGTAGAGCGGGTACAGATGAGGCTTTCCAGATGATCTGGCCTTGGCGTGGGATGGGGATGGCAATAAGGGAGGTGAAAACGTCTCTGAGGGCTTGGGGCTGGTGTGGAGGGCTCCAGGGGCTGACCCCTGTCACTCCTGTTTACTTGGCTCAGAGGAGTGGGTCCTGGCTGCAACACCCGTGAAATAGCTCACAAACTGATCGAGCTGAAGGCAGACATAGAAGACCTGGAGCAGTGGGAACAGGAGCTGGAGCAACAGAAGATGTGGGTTAAGCAGAGCATCAGAAATGTTACAGAAGACGTGCAGAACAGTCGATATCCTTTGTGTGAGCTGACGGCTCTGTCTCTGCGTTTGCTCGCCCGGTTGGAAAGCAGAGACCTGCAGGCTGTGTTGCTGCTGCCCTGCTCAGGGCAGATGGGGGATGCTGGTAGCCTCGTGCTGCTGGAAGATCTTGGGATTGCCTGGCTTTTTTTGCCAGCCTGGGAACCAGCTTTCTTTGTGGTGCACAGCTTCTCATCTGACTTTTTGAAGTAAAAACCACCGTGATGTTTACCATAATGACAAAAGTGCTTCTCTCCGAGTCACAGCTTTTTTTGGGTGCAGAGCTGCTCTTGTGGCTTTGCCTGTCTTAGGGTGTCAGCTCTGACGAGGATGTAGGTTGCAGACCTCTCCACTTCAGAGCGTGGCATGGAGAGCCTTCGGGGAATGGCGCTTCTGGGGCTCAGGAAGGAAGTGCCGGGTGCCTGCTGAGCTCTCTGGCTGCACACAAAGCTGCAGCTGTTCTCCTTAACCTTGGAAACATTAGCCTATGTGACACATGAAGATATCTGCAAGTGCTTCACAGGTGAGGAAACTGCTCTGTCATAGCGATGCGGCCCTGTCATTCTGTCCTTTTCCTCTGCATCAGGCACGGGGGAGGCTGGCCCTTGAATCCTGGGTTCAGTTTTGGGCCCCTCACTCCCAGAAGGACCTTGAGGGGCTGGAGCGTGGCCAGAGAAGGGCAACGAAGCTGGGGAAGGGTCTAGAGCCCAAGTGTGGTGAGGAGCAGCTGAGGGAGCTGGGGGTGCTGAGCCTGGAGCAAAGGAGGCTCAGGGGAGACCTTCTGGCTCTGACAGCTCCCTGACTGGAGGCTGGAGCCAGGTGGGAATCGGTCATTTCTGATCAGATCCAAGCAACAAGTGACAGGACAAGAGGAAGTGGCCTCAAGTTGTGCCCAGTGGTTTAGGTTCAATATTAGGACAAATGTCGTCCCCTCAAGGGTTGTCCAGGGCTGTGCCAGGCTGCCCAGAGCAGTGGTGGAGTCCCCATCCCTGGAGGGGTTTCCAAGCTGTGGAGATGTGGTGCTGAGGGACATGGGTCATTGGGGACCTGGCAGTGCTGGGGGAACGATTTGACTCGGTGATCTTAAAAGTCTCTTCCAACCCAAACAACTCTATGATTCCAGGAAAGAGGAGGCAGTGGACCATGGGCTGCCCAACAGCATCAAGTTAAACGTAGTGTGAGCTCTGATGCCGTCCTGGGTTTGTGTACCACCCAGTTGTAGCTTTCTGGTCACCATCAGAGGGGCCAGGTGGTTTCTTTTCCTTGTCTTTGAAGGAACTTAGCTGCAATTCCAAAGGGAGTCACTATGGGGGTATGCTGTCTTAGAAGCCCTTGATTTTAAGGGCTTGGGTGGACAATAATAGGAAGCAAATGTTGTTACATGGTAGAAATCTGGGTGTAAGCAAAAAAATAGTATAAAAAGTCGTCCCTCAGCTGCATCAGGCCCTGTACAAAAAAGAATGCGGGAGGGAGGTAGTGCAAAAAAGGTCAGAGGGAATAGACCACTTGCTGTGACCTCTCTCCCCTCTGTACAGCCTCCCTAAAGCTGTGGGGTGCCCCTGTAAAAAGCCACATGATCTGTCCCAGGGGGTGAAAGGGAAGGAAACCCATAGGAGTCTCTGGTTCTTTTCTATTGCCAGTTTTAATCATTAAGGTTGGAAAAGACCTCTAAGATCAAGTCTAACTGTCAAACCAGCACTACCATGACCACTAAACCATGTCCCCAGGTGCCACATCCACACATTTTTGAACCCCTCCAAGGATGGTGACTCCAGCATCTCACTGGGCAGCCTGGGCCAAGGCCTCACCAGTCTGCCAGGAAAGAAATTCTTCCTAATATCCAACCTAAACCTCCCTTGGTGCAACTTCAGCCCCATTTCCTCTTGTCCTGATGATAGCTGTAGGACCAAAAAAAAATGAATAGAAGCTCCCCATGGCAGGTGCAGCACGTGAGCTGTTCTCAGCTGCAGCACCGTGGGGTCTCAGCTCCTTTCTGCTTCGCTGGACTCGTGACCTCTCCCAACCCTGGGCAACTGCATCTGCTCACTTGGGCTGAGACTGGGGCTGCTTGGCCTGACCTCCCCCAGCCATGTGTCTCACCCATGCCTGACTCTACCCTCATCTTTTGCAAGCCCTCTTCTCACCCTGCACCAGCAGCTTGTCTAGTTTCTCATCTTTGCCTTGGTGGACTTGCTTTGTTCTCCAGGCTTTATACTGCTCAAGTTTATGCTGGTGTCTGAGGCACCACCACCCTCTTTGTTTTACTGCTTTTTCTGATCGAAGATAGCACTTTTTGGGGGCGGGGATTGTGTTTTCAGTTTGACACCACTTGGGGCCAGATAGCTCATAACAGGCTGGAAGAGTTTACTGGAGCCCAGCAGACAGCTTGTTGCTTGGTTGAGTGAGTGTTTTGCATTTTATTGCACCTGTTCTTTGTGAAGGAGTTTGCCTCCAAAATCAGACCTCTCCAAAATCAGACCTCCCCAAAATGCACAGAGATGAGATTTTGCTGAGGGCAGATCTGAATTCCTTCTAGACCAGAGCCTTAATCCTTCTTTTCCCACTGTCCATGCAGTTTTCCTGTGTGAATGTGCCTTATGTGACTTTATTTTTTCGTCTGCTGAGCATCTGAGCCTTGCAGAGGTTTGTTGTCAGACCTCACATGTTCTTGAACTGTGCTGCAGGTTGAATTTCAGCTCCTGTTTTTTCAAGTGACCTCTGTTGAACTTGCTATCTCAAAGGCAGTTAAGGCTTGAAGGTTTCCATGCCTGGGCTCTTGCCAAATATTGATTCAAATATTTGGATTAATTAAAAAAGAAGTCAGAAAATGTTAGTTTTGAGTGACTGGAAGACATAATCCAAAAGGATGTGCAGAATCCAAAAGGAAGTGGAAACACGTGGTAACTGGTTTGTAAAAGCATTTGGGACATAGCTGTCAAGGGAGATAGAACACAGCACCTGTAGTCAAAACTAAGAGGTCTTACAGCTCAAGCTTGTATCTTAGAGCTTTTTTTAAGCATTTTAATGTCTCTTAATAATGGTTAAAAAATGTGTTTTGGTGGTCACACCTTGGTTCTGCAGCTGATGAATCAGCTCGAGAATGGGAGCCAGCGAGCCTTGGGTCGTGCACTGTTGCTGCCTGTGCACTCTCCTTGTAGCACCTCCTGCTGCTTTGGAACTTGTACAAGCCCCGCAAGAAAGGGATCTTCTGAGAGGCCAGGCAGGGTGGATAGCTGTTTTGTCTTCTGTGTGTTCACAGTGGCTACCCCAAAAGCCCATTTGGGTCCATGAAGTACCCCCTCTTGAGGTAGTCTGTGCCAAGGATACAAGGAGCCTCTGGGCTGGTCACAGTGGGTGCTTTTCCCACTTGCCCCCAGTCAAGCTCACCTCGGCCTCCAGCACAAACAGTTCTTGGCATCCCCCTGTCACTCCAGAGATCCAGATGGGTTCTGTGCCTCTGTGACTTGATAGTATCGATGTACACTGTGCACCAGTGTCTACCAAAACCTCGTACTTCTGTGAGCTCCATGTGCCAGGCCTCCGAACCCACACAGTCCAGTACACACAGCCATCCCTTTCCTTCTCCTGCACAGAGGCAGGGACCCTCTATTCCTGTTCCTGGTCAGAGTATTCACTGTCTGACCCGTGCTGTGCTGGACCAGAAGTCCCTTCATCAGGATCAGATGAGGTAGTCTCAGCCTTCTCATGTCTGGGAGATCAACAATTCCGTTCCTGTGTTCCTCCCATGACTACACTGACAGCCTGCTTGGATGGCCTCTTCTAGACAGGTGTCTTCCCTTTCAGCTTGTGTACATGGGCTTCCAGCTTAACGGTGGGTTGACCATCCCACTTCCTCATGTCTTGCCCCTGGTCACACAGAAAAAAACAGAGTGTGCCATGTGGCACGTACCTTGGACTCCCTTTCTCTCTTGACTGGCACAGGAGAGAGTTGATTTCTTGGTGTGTCCCTGACTTCCAGGACATTACCCTTCAGGGATGAGGAGGTACCAAGGCTCTCTTTGAAATTCTGGAGCCAGGAAGGTGCTGTCCCCACAGCTGGGGTGTCCATTTGTGGGTAATACATTGCTGCCAAGCTGGCAGAGTAGGATACTGACACATTTTTGATCACCTTCCTCCACATAGCCCGTGTATGCTGGATATCTTCTGGATCTTTGGTATGCTCCTTATCATCTAAATCCCCACAGATGACTTCCAGTACTGCCATTTCTCTCAGGTACTGGATACCCTCATCTGCAGTAGACCACTTTCCCAAGGATGTAGAGCACATGAGGTGTTCCTTGAATGGGCATCTTGCTTTCACACTCGAGGGGAGCCATCTCCAGAGACGGCAAATTGCTGCCTCTTTTCCGATCCCTCTCTCAATTCCCCGATCCCTAGCGAGGGAGCCCAGCTGTTGTTCTTCCTTCCCTTCCAGCTGCTGTGTGACAGCCCCGTTCTCCCAGCGTGGAAGCAGCCAGGCAGCAATCTGCTCCCCAATCTCTCCTCGGCTCCCGAAGTTCTGAGGGGGTCAGGGACCGGGGTGGTGTCTGCCTCTTGTTTCAGTTCGGTTATGGTGTCCTCGCCTCCCTGTGGGGAGGGTCCTGCTTCTTCGCCCAGCTCTTCCTCCTCTCTCTCTTCATCCCTTGTTAATCACAGATATGGGCCTGTTGTTCTTGTCCTTTGCTTCTTTGTCACTGCTGGGGCAAGTGCGGTAGTTGCTGTTGTTGTTTGGGTAGTTTGGGTCCCTGCCTCAACCCCAGTCTTCTGGGAGCACTGAACCACGGCTCGGTAGGCACAGGCCAGACCCCAGGACAGTGCTAGACGCTGTTGGTTTTCATCTGAGCAGACAAGGCACCCTTCTCACAGGTGTTGCATCAATTTGACAGGATTGCCTGCCTGTTCAGGTGTAAGGTCCCAGGTTACAGGAGGTGATAACTGTCCTAGGAACCTGCCCAAATCCTTCCATACTCCCAGCCACCAAGGAAGAGGCCACCCCAGGGCACAACTCGGCGTTGCCCCGCACTAAAGTTATTTTCTCTTACCCCAAGACAAGATCTAACTCCACGCAAACCATAATAGGCCAGCAGTGTTAATTGCTAGTATTAAACAGCTCATGGAAGGGTGAATTAGCACTTTAGGAGCCTGAGCAATAAAGCTGCTCACATTAATCCCTGGTAGGGAGAGGAGGATGTTTTCCCTTATCTTCTCCACAAGATACCTTACCTAACAAAGTAAAGTAATTGCAGGCAAGACATAACAGAAACCATTATTTGCATTATCATGTTCCAAAGCTTAGCAAAATAGAGATAAGCCACAGGCAACAAACCTGTGACCAGTACAGAGGTTTGCAGCCAGGCAGCTACTGTAGTATAATATAAAACTGCTGTTGTAGGTGCCCCACATTGGGTGCCAAAAAGGACTGTGGTGGGTTAACTCTGGCTGAGCAAGAGATGCCCACCAAGCCATTCTGTCACCCTTCCCCTTTCCTCTCCATCCTCCACAGAGCAAAAGGGGAAAGGAAAGTAAGATAGAGACAGAAGCCCTGTGTGTAAAAACAAGGGCAGTCTAATTAGAGAGCAAAAGCCACGCAATGCTGTGCACAGAAGCAAAGAGAAAAAAACCCCAAGATTTATTCTCTCCTTCCCATCCCTAGGCAATATCTGGCCTCTCCTGGGAAGCAGGGCTCCCAAATGCACAGAGGTTGCTCCAGAGTAGCCCCCCCCTTCCTCCTTTTTTCTAGCTTTATAGCTGAGCCGACCTCATATGGTCTGGAATATCCCTTTTGGTCAGTTCAGGTCAGCTGTTCTGGTTATGTCCCTCCAAGCTCCTGCCCCCCCCTCCAACTGGGGGGGGAATGTTAGACAGAGCCTCAGTGCTGTGGGAGCTCTGCTCAGTGGTGCTCACAACATGGGTGTTCCAGCACCCTTCTGGCTCCACACGAGCACACTGCACCAGGAGGCTGCTGTGGGAAAACCAGCTCAGCCAGACCTGATACACACCCACACTAGAGCTTCAGCATTCCAAGTGAAGGCTGCTGGCTTCTTGGTCTGAATACATTTGAATTTCACAGCTCTGGTGTTTCTCTGGTTTCATTTCTCTCAGCCTGGGTGTGGACTGGAAGCTGCTTGCCTGGGACTGTTGTGTCATTAGGGCTGCAGGTCTTAAGAAGCTGCAGAGCTTGAAAGCTGCTGGGCTCTGCACAGGGTGCAACACAGAATCACACAGAATCCCAGCATGGTGGGGCTTGGAAGGGACCTCTGGAGAACATCTAATCCAACCCCCTGTTCCAGCAGGTCACCCACAGCAGGGTGCCCAGGATCACATCCAGGCAGGTTTGGAATCTCTCCAGAGAAAGAGACTCCACATCCTCTCTGGGCAGCCTGCTCCAGGCTCGGCCACCCTCACAGCACAGAATTTTCTCCTCCTGTTCAATTTGTGCCCATTGCCCCTTGTACTGCTACTCGGCATCACTGAACAGAGCCTGGCACCATTCTCTTGCCCTCCGCCCTGAGATATTGATGAAGACACAACTAACACCAGGCAACTCTCTTGCCAGTAGAGACTGGGGAGTGCTGGTTCTGGGTGTTGGTACCCCAGCATGAGGTTGTGACGCTGTTGGCAGCCTGGTTTGACACCGTCTCTCTCCTGGCACTGCAACTCTTTGAGCTGTGCACTTTTGTTGACCAATCACATCTAAATCTTGTGACAGCGGGATGAAGAATCTTTCCTTTGGGATTCAGGTGTTCTTAAGAGTGAATTTAAGCCAGCCCTTCTGGGGAAGCACAGGTTTGTCCTGTTAAGGATGTTGCTAAAAGCTTTAGGGTTGCTTTGGGAGCAACTTGGCAGGTTCTTTGTGCCCTGGCTGTGTGACCTGTGTGGCAGCTCAGCTGGGTGTAAATGGCAGTCCTCCACAGAACAGAGGGCAGGAGATGCAGGGGCTCTTCATCAGTGCTTTGTGATCATGGAAACCTGTCTGTTTTCACAGGAGACACCCTCCTCGCGATTCGTGCCCCATCAGGCACGCGTTTGGAGGTTCCCATCCCTGAGGTGAGTGAGAGATGGGTGGGCAGGGAGGTGCAGGAGTCTCCGTGTGTGTCAGGGAGTGGGTTGTTGCTGGGTTGACCACGCTGGGAGTTGGCAGTCAGGGGTTTGATGGAGTTGGAGGAACCGGCGACCAAAGGAAAGCTCCAGATACTAAATAACTGCCAGGAAACTGTTGTTTGGAAGTACGTGAATAATTGTAGACAGGGAGGGGATGGTCCTGGGAGTCAGGGGAGTTGTGTGCGGAGCTCTGCTGAACTGCCTGGACAGGACGTCTTGCCTCTGGGAAATTCCTCTTCTGTTTGGAAAGGGCATTTAATGCATGGTTGCGTTTTTATACATAGCTGTGTTTCGCTTTTGACATTTCTCAGGGCCTAAATGGGCAGAAGAAATACCAGATCCACCTGAAGAGCACCAGTGGTCCCATTGACGTTCTCTTAGTAAACAAAGACGCCTGGAGCTCTCCTCCTGTCGTGCTCCCTGTCCCTCCCCCTGAAGAACTCATTCAGTGCCAGGCAGTTGCACCCTCCAAACCGCAGGTACCGCCGCTTGCCCACTTCCAGGAGGCATCTGTTCCCAGCAGCACCCAGCCCTCCACGCCGACACCCAGCAGCACCCAGGACCACAGCCCTCCCGCCCAGAAAGCCACGAGCACGGGTGAGAGGCGGGCTGAGGGGGGTGGGAGGAGCTGGGGGTGGTGGCCCAGGAGGGGGAGAACATTCTGTGGGCTGGTGCTGCTGGCCGTGCAGAGGGAGACCTCCCTGCCTCTCCTGTCGTGGGATTTTTCCTTTTGTCTTTGTTGTGGGACTGGCAGGAGAAAAAATGGACTCTGTCCCAGCTAAAACCAGCATGCTGCATTAATGGAAGTAAGCCACGTGGCTTGAGGGGGTAGCACCAGGCTGTAGGAGCAGTGCTGGGAGAGACTGATCAGGCAGACTGATTGATCAGCAAAAGTTTGTACAAGGATCTTGTTGAGTCTTGTGTTAGGTTTGGAAAAAGACTGTCAAAACGTACTAGATGGGTTGGTTGTGGCTTTGTCCAGATAAATTTTGAAAGCCTCCAGCAGTGGAGGTCCCCAGCTTCCTTGGTGAGCTCTTCCAGGGCTGCAGCACCCACTCGGGGAATTGTTTTTTCCTGCTGTCTGGATCCTTTGAGCACCACCTCATGCCTGTTGTGGGTGTTACATTGTTTTGCACCACCGAGTAGTTCTTAATTTTTGTAACTGCCTTTCAGGTAGCTGCAAGCTGCTGTTAGAATGCCCTTAGACCTCTGTTTGCTTGACTGAACAAGCCCAGCTCCCTCCACACCTCCTTGTAGGCCATGTGCCACAGACCGCTGGCCAGCTTGGTGGCCCTCACTTGGATCTTCTCCACATCTTTGTTGAACTAGAGGATGGCCAAAGCTGGACATAGTATTCCAAGTGCAGCCTCAGCCCTGAGCAGGCAGGTGGTAACTTCCTACACTGTGCTGGCCACGCTTCTTCAGGAGTAACTTAACTACCTGGCTTGTGTGAACTGCCATGAGAGCATGTTCTTGGCTTACGTGCAGCCTGGCACCACCATGACTGCTCCCCAGCAGAACTGCAGCAGGGCCGGGGAGTATTTGCTGGGTGAAAGCAAGAAGCCTTCTTCCTGTGGGATGGCTCTGGGCTGCCCCCCCCAGCAGCGTGGGCAGCAGGGCAGGGAGGAGATCCTGCCCCTCTGCCCCTCTCTGGGGAGACCCCCCTGCAGTGCTGGGGCAGCTCTGGAGTCCTCAGCACAGCAGAGACAGGGACCTGCTGGAGCGGGGCCAGAGGAGCCCCAGCAA